TAGATGATGGATGGATGATATAAATTACTGATTAAAATGTGCCACATGCTTCCTCCTTACTTCCCATCAGAGGGGTGTGTCCCGCTTTGGATGATGTTGAACGCTGTGATTGGCTGATAGACGTCCAATCAAAGAATCTGGGTGGAGCCAGAAGACATTAATCATAGATTTGTCATTTGGAATAATTGGGGATGTGAAGGGGTCAGAGAGGATGGAGCAAAGACAAGAAGATGACACCAAATAAACCGTACAAAGCCTGAGTTTGTATGCTTGAAGCACCCCTGTGCACTTGTGAAGAGGCAGGCAGACATGATGAGTGACAGAAGAAAGAGGATTTTCTGTCTGTTGTCCAGTGAGAGGCTAATCCTGAGCCCATGGCCCCGTCTCTCTCTCTCTCTCTCTCTCTCTCTCTGATCCCATCCCTGTTCCTCAGTCTGCTCTCACTGTGCAGATCGAGCCTCTCTGGACTGAGCTGCAGGAAACTCACCGGCCCTCTGCTGCCTCCTCGCTTCAGCTATCCTAAGGTGAGCAATGGCCTCTCCCCGCTAACCTCCCGTCCTTCTCTTCACTTCTATGTCTCCTGGTAGAACATCTGTGTGGAGTTTCCTCAAACATAAACCATTCATGTTTCTGATCCCAGCTTCCTTCTTAAGACTTTATCCTGTAGCTATGCTGCAGTGAGAGTTTGCATATGGAGCTAATTAGAATCAAGACGGTTTAATATTCTACGACAGAAATAAAGTTTTTTCTTCAACATCCTTTTTGCACAAAACAAAAGACTCCAATCTTCTAATCAGCTGCCTGAGCCTTTTGTTTAGTCCCAGCTCCTTGGAGGAATTAGTGCCTCTTAAGCTGCCTCCTATCTGCACAACCAGCCATCTGTCAGACAAAATTTTCTGCAATTTTGCTCTTTTATCAAACCTCCGGCAGCGTCTTCTACGTCCTCCCTACCCCTGTCTTCATTTATTTGAGAAATCTCTCCGAGCAAATCCATCCTGTGGTTTCATTTTAAGGGTCACAGGAGGCAGACAAACTCCCTTTCACCTCTTCATTTAATCTTCTAGTCTCTGATGGGAGTCTCTCTAATCCCACTCACTTTAAAAACTACTCTCACCCTTTAACTCCTTCCTCTGACCTTATTGTGACCATTTAGCACCTCACTCCTCTCATCTGACAGTCCGTGGTTTCTCCCCATTTTCTCTTTGCCAGTCATCCACCTCGTCAGTATTTATTTATTTTTTATACTACAGCACCTCTTAAACCCAATTTCCTTCCTCTCTCATCCTTTCCAGTATTTATGTGACTCCTCCTCGCCATCCGCCCACTCGCTATATCTGTTTTCTTGGCTTGCGTAAGCTCAGCTGACCACCTCAGGATGTCAGAAAGGATCATGTGTTGTCCAGGACCGATGCCAACTCTAAGCTGGCACTTCAGCTTAACTTCGCCAACTGCTCCCATCAATGCTGTGTGTTTGTGTGTGTGTGTGTGTGTGTGTGTGTGTGTGTGTGTGTGTGTGTGTGTGAGGGAGAAAAAGGTGACCCACAGCTTAAGACAGATACAGAATCAGCATTTAAAATGTGCAGCATCTCATCTGGTGCTGTAACATGAGTTTATATCAGCGTTTATAATACTAGATTTGTTTCCCTTCAGTGTATTTTTAATGCTAAAATAAAAAAAAACACACAACAGAGGAGCTCTCCTCCTGTGTTTGATGTGCTGACATGTGTAAGAAGAGGCAGAGACACATTATATGAATTCACCATCCAATCACAAATCATCTGATCACCTGACCCGGTGGCTCTCTCACGGCGACCAATCAGAGGGCTTCTCTCTGCTCCACGAATAATCTCATCGCACAGACTGCAGGTGTATCCGTTACTTAAGCGTTTGATAGCTTAATGCAATTAGCGGGTTCATCCAAGTATGTACCTGTGAAGATGTGTGTTAATGCATCTTCAGTTATAGAGATTTAGATTTAGGATGTGAAAAATATTACCAGCTTTATTCTTTATTTTAACAAACTTTAATATTACAAGATGTGATTCTTTCTTTAATATTTTCCTCTAAGTAGACTGTAAAAAAAAAAAAAAAAAAGAGGCAATATACTGGTAGCTGTGATGCCAAAAAATACAGTGAAATGATGGTAAATAAGGATGTCATAAAAATACAATAATATTCAATAGTTATAATACATGCTAGCTGTAAGTTTTACTTGATAATATCTGTAGTTTTTTATTTTTATTTTAATGCTTCATGAGATTTATTTCAATGTGTAAAAAAAAATAAAATGACCTATAATATATATATTTTTTAAATGCTGCTGCTAATAATAATAGATCAATTTGTATACTGTATTTTGACAGATTGCCTTTTCTTATAGATACTATAGAATGATAAAAATGCCATGCTGGTTCTGAAAACTTCTAAATAATATGATTATATATGTATATTATATAATAATTATACAAGACATTGCTCATTTAACAAAAAGATACCAAGAACAGTGACTTCTATTTCACTGTCACCAATTGTGTCTAATTTTATAAACATATTTACATGATTAAACTTGAATTTAACAGTTTATTCTTTTCAATAAAAAGGAAATATTGGTGTAATTATGCAAAAATTGCAAATGTGTCTTAACTGTCATTTTATGTCAAAAAAATTCAGACTTCTTGAAAAAAAAGCCAATTTATGTTTAGAGCTTTGTAATATTATTTTACATTAGACATTTAAATTCAGAGGCTATGTTTGTTCTTTTAATGTTATTTTCATGAGTTTCAAAAAGAGGAAAAAATCTTCAGAATAAAAAGGAAAACACTAATTATTCCAATTCATAGTTACAGGTTTTTTACAGTGTATCATGGTCATAGATCCACAACCACTGCTACGTCCAAAATGTGTTTAACTGTCTCCCTGTTTGTATGTTCTAATATTAATTTAAATATGAGATTCCTGAAGTGAAGCCCACAGTCATGTACACAGTTGTACAACACATACTCAGCTCCAGACCACATCCAGCGTAGGACTGTTGTCTTGCTCTCCTCTGTGCCTGCACAACATCGGGCTCAACAATCTGATTCCCAATTATCACTTTCCTCTGAATGCCAAGGCAGGGTGTCGGTAGAGTTCATGTCTTGTTCCACCAGTTTCCCAGAGTGTGAAAAACAAACACACGGTCTGACATTTAAATCACCCTGATGACGCTATAACCAGCAGTAATTATAGATATTAACACCTAGCTTCATTCAGTTGCTGCACATTCCCATAGGACATAACCAGACACGTTTTTTTTTTACTCCTCTGACCTTTCACCAGGTAACAACCAGGCCCACGTAAGCATGGCAAACTCTTTCACCCGCATGATGACTGGCCGCAACCCGGCAGTGCTGCTGGCCGTGGGAGCTGGTTCTCTGGCGTCGGGATACCTCCTGACTGAGAACGCTGCTGCTGCTGAGAGGAGGAGGCTCTACCCACCCAGGTACATGCGTGTGAGGGTGGATGTGAGCCTTCCTGGGTCCTGCAGAGCGAAGCGAGAAAAGAAAAACAGTCTGAGTTGAAATAAAAGGAACTATATGTATTTAAAATTTAAGGAAACACTTCATTCTTAAGTCGTTTTGGTCTCAATAAATTACACGGTGTATATAAATGACTGGACAGTGGAAAACAAGATGATGAACGCACTGAGGGGAGGATTCACTTCCTGTTGAATTGATGTTATTCTGTGATGATTAAGTGTTTCCTTGATTTGTTTGAGCAGCATGTATCGTATATTTTATCCCCACTCTACTCAGGCAACCCCTAAACATACACATTTAGAAGAGCAACAGGCCAGACTATGAGGATTATTTGTCTGAACACAGCTCTTGATAACTTCCTGCAGCGCCGACTTCCCTGACCTGAGGAAGCACAACAACTGCATGGCAGCAGCTCTGACTCCGACCATCTACGCCCGCCTGAGGGACAGGACAACACCCAACAACTGGACCCTGGACCAGTGCATCCAGACTGGGGTGGACAACCCCGGACACCCCTTCATCAAGACCGTGGGGATGGTGGCTGGAGACGAGGAGAGCTATGAGGTGGGAGTTCAGGACTGACTTTCTGTGTCTTCATTTGAAAAAAAACTGTGAATACTGAGTGCTTGGTTCTTTCCATCAGGTGTTTGCTGAGCTCTTTGATCCTGTTATCAAGGACAGACACAACGGCTATGACCCTCGTACGATGAAGCACCCCACTGACCTGGATTCTTCCAAGGTTTTGTTTTCTGCTTCATATGGCCACTTCCCCATCCATCAGCCCACTCCCACATACTCTAACCCAGGGGTGTCCAATCCTGGTCCTCGAGAGCCACAGTCCTGCATGTTTTAGATATTTCCTTCTTCCAACACACTTGATTCAAATGATCAGCTCATCATCAAGCTCCACAGAAGCCTGATAACCATCCTGATCATTTGAATCAGGTGTGTTGGAAACATCTACAACATGCAGGACTGTGGCTCTCGAGGACCAGGATTGGACACCTCTGCTCTAACCTAATGCCTCCTCCTCCTCCTCCTCAGGTCACCTCTGGAATGTTTGACGAGCACTACGTCTTGTCATCTCGTGTCCGTACCGGTCGCAGCATCCGCGGCCTGAGTCTTCCCCCGGCGTGCTCCCGCTCTGAGCGCCGCGAGGTGGAGCGCGTGGTGGTCACGGCTCTGTCCGGCCTGAAGGGAGACCTGTCCGGCCGCTACTACAGCCTGGGAGACATGACTGACAGAGAGCAGCAGCAGCTCATCGATGTTAGTCTCGCACACTTTCACGCACACTCAGAAACAAGGCTGCTTTCTGTGGTTTTTATTCGTTGCCATCTAATGTCCCCCCACCGATTCCTCTGTCCCTTCACTGGCCAATCAGGAGCACTTCCTGTTTGATAAACCTGTGTCACCTCTGCTCACGGCAGCTGGGATGGCCAGAGATTGGCCCGATGCTCGTGGGATCTGGTAAGACTGGGAGGAAGTCGACAAGTGCTGCTTGTAGAGAACCTGCAAAAGCTGTAGTCGCTGCGTTACTCACCTAGAAACCTAGTTCTTAGAGCCTTTTTACTTTGATAAAAATCTCTCGCTCGTGGTTGGTTTCTAGTTTAGAGAGACACAAACAAATCAGCTGCTAATTCGTGACCATCACATCTTCTTTTCATCAATGCAGTAATGTCGTAGTTAGGGAGGGATCTGCGAGTGCTGGCCTACATAAGACACCATTAGGCATCGCCACCATGAACACCAACATGACGAGGGAGATTACACAGTGGAATTAGATTACACTGTTGTTCTGTAAAATTATGTAAGAACGGATTATGTAGAAAACACTGTGGCCCCATTGCTGCAAAGCTTCAAATCACACACAAAAAAACACATAAATTCAGACTCACCCGCTGCTAGAATTCAGTTTTTTTCGTCAGTCCATTTTTTTTTATATCATTGGCAGTACTTTGAAACCTGCACGCATTTTATCTCCAATACTTCCCAGTTTTCTGCACTGATTGAATTTCACTCTGCTCCTCAAACACAACACATCTCCTCTCATGCCTTTCTTCTTTTTTCACCTCCACAACTCTAACTTCAGGATCATTTCCTTTTTGATGAAGTAGTTTTGCTCCCACTGCCTCCTTCCCCGTCTGTGCTTTCATAGCCGGCGACTGTGCATTTGCTCTGCTGAATGTGTCTTCTTCTCTAGTGATTCATTCGTGTGGCCTGTTGATTTATAAATCAGAGTTTAATTCTGCCTTTTTGGTACTCAGGCACAACAACGAGAGGAACTTCTTGATCTGGATCAACGAGGAGGACCACACAAGGATCATATCCATGGAGAAAGGAGGAAACATGAAGAGAGTGTTTGAGAGGTTCTGCAGAGGTCTTAAACAGGTGCACAGCGCTTAAAGCCTTTTATAAAACAACCTCCCTCCCCGGTTGAGATTTAGACTTATACACTATAGTCCAGGGGTGTCCAATCCTGCATGTTTTAGATGCTTCCCTCTTCCAACACACCTGATTCACATGATCAGGATTATTATCAGGCTTCTGCAGAGCTTGATGATGAGCTGATCATTTGAATCAGGTGTGTTGGAAGAGGGAAGCATCTAAAACATGCAGGACTGCGGCCCTCGAGGACCAGGATTGGACACTCCTGCACTATAGCATTGGTGGCTCGGTGGTTAGCATCGTCGCCTTGCAGCTAGAAGTGAGGACACCCGGGATCTTTCTGCGTGGAGTCTCCATGTTCTCCTCGTGCAGCGTGGGTTCTCTCCAGGTTCTCCGGCTTCCTCCCACAAGGTCCAAAACTATGCTGAGGTTAATTGGTGATTCTAAATTGTCCGTAGGTGTGAATGTGAGTGTGCTTGGTTGTCTGTCTCTAAGTGTAGCCCTGTGATAGACTGGTTACCTGTCCAGGTGAACCTGCCTTCACCCTGAGTCAGCTGGGATAGACTCCAGCCCCCCATGTGAGGATTAAGCGGTGTATAGATGATGGATGGATGGACTATAGCATTGACACCTCAGAGATCAAGCAACATACCTGCTAAGATTCTAGTTACGCCCCAACAAGTTTGGGTTCCAAAAGTAAAAGAATAAAAATCTTTCTTCTAACTTTCAGGTGGAGCATCTAATTCAGGAGAGAGGATGGGAGTTCATGTGGAATGAGCGAATGGGCTACATCCTCACCTGCCCCTCTAACCTCGGCACCGGGCTCCGGGCCGGTGTGCACATCCGTCTGCCGTTCCTCTCAAAGGTAGCGACACCTGCACTTCAGCTCATGTCATCTTCACACACAGCTGTTATTGTTCTCATCTCCGTAAATAATTTGTGCTGCTTATGATCCAGGACCCCCGCTTCAAGAAGATCCTGGACAACCTGCGACTACAGAAGAGAGGCACCGGAGGTGTGGACACAGCTGCCACCGGAGACACCTTTGACATCTCCAACCTCGACCGTCTGGGCAAGTCGGAGGTAAGACAACAGCCGAAGCGAGGAGAAGTCAAAATGAACAGCAGGCAAAGAGAGACAGATCGAGCAGAGCAGGCATCTGCACCACAACAGGTGAAGGCCGTGATAAACCGAACCCCCTGCTGCTCTTTAATCTGTAATCCAGGCAGGGATGTGCCAGTTCGGGTTCAAACACTGCTGTTTCCCGAGCTGAGCCTTTCATGCAGAACTTCCTTACAGGCTGTGTGACGACAGCCGCGACCAGTCGAACGCTACGGAGAGGTCACGGTTGTGCGAGGTCAGGGTAACAGTGGAGTTTCTTCCAGTCGCGCCAAAGGTGGCAGGATTTGTGCAGCAGCTCAGAGGAAGACCCGTCTGAAGGGCTAATGTTAGGGGGCAAAAGTCTGCTGGTGTTTAACTCACCACTAGAAAGAACCTTTAAATGGATTTATGGTGCAGCTACAGACAACAAGGCGCCTGCTGGTGATGGACAGGTTGATGAAAAAGACACTATACGCTCTAGTTTTGGGAAACAGAGGATTAAAAGCAGCTTAAAGTAAAGTTAAAACTATTCAACTGCAATAAAAGTCCAAATTCAGAAGTACATCAATGAGTAATGTCATTTTACTGCTAAAGATGAAGAACAAAGATGATGTAAGTGACTCCATATCGGCAAACTTTTGCAATCCGTCATGTCCAATAAACGATAATATATCAGAATTTATTCAAGAAAAAGGGAATTTGCTGAAGTGCTGCTCAATTTCGTGCGACCAAACGAGACAATTTCACTTCTATCAACTCCTTTAACATGTAAGAAGTTTTAATCAGTGAAATCTGGGAGAGGTTGAATAAAACGTAATGAGATCCTGCAAAGTTTTGAGTCTCAGGGACACGTCGTGGTGAGCCGCTGAGTTAGATAATGATTAAGACCACAGTTCGGCATCTGCATTCAACAACTGTCTTGGTGCTGCATCCACAGGTGGAGCTGGTGCAGCTGGTGATCGACGGCGTGAACTACCTGATCGAATGCGAGAAGAGGCTGGAGAGGGGGCAGGACATCAAGATCCCCTCTCCGATCGCTCAGTTCAGGAAGTGAACGACACAGAGCAGCCGACAAACTGCTCGTCTTACGAGATATTCGCGGCACGCGTAGCCGACTTACATGCACGATAAATTCATGACCTGTACGTGAATTCTAAACACAATAAACGCTCATGATGAACTCGGCTGTGGTACCTGCCAGGTGCTTTGTCGTTTGGGTGGTTTTATAGCCTCTGAAAAGAAAAGAAAATGATGTGGAACGTAAAACTAAGTACTGAAATGTAAGTATAAGTTTGAGGGGCTTGTACTTGTGTAGTTTCTTAAATTCTTGTTTTATTGATGGGGACAGTGGAGAAAGATGGGAAAGAGATTAGAGGAGTAACATGCAGCAAAAGATTAGGCACACAAACTCACCACCAGCCATCAAATATCAGTCACATGACCACACCACTTAGTTTACGTACATTTTGCTGCTAACATGTTCATCCTTCTTCTTAAGTAAAGTTTTGAATCTTACTTGAGCTACTATTTCTGCTATTGGTCAATCAGATCTAACATTTTTTTTAACCTTTGTCGCACAAGGAAGTGAGAAAAACTAAATATTATCTTGGGCTATAAATGCTGATAAAACCATAACTCCATGAATGCAAAACACGACAATAAAACTGAGCAACATGTAGGTCAGACGGAATAGAAACTACGAACTACAGCGAACACTCGACCTCCCCCGGTGCTCTGCTGGTTCCTTCTCCTCCTCAGACAGAGCTGCTGTTACCAGGCCATGGCCGACTGCCAGACTTAACAAGATGGAGCTATATTGGACAATAATGTCACGACCTTTGCACCTCTATGATTAAGTGCTGGCCTCTTCTGATTTTCCTGCATCATGACTGACAAACAGACTATATTCTTATCCACAGTATATCCTGATGACCACATTTAAAAAAAATCTTTGTTCATGAAAAGAAGAGAAAAGTGCAAAACTGATGGATTACTCTACAATAGCTTGTGGTTAACTTTCAGACCTCACCTGGCTCCCACACAAGGCCTTTAATCCAGGAGTAAAAGGCCAAGCTCATTAGCGACAGACAGACCAAACAGAGGTGGGCTGGTTAACGCCGTACGCTGCCTGTTCCACCGTATTTACATGCTCGGGCATAAAACAAGGAGGGATTACTCTTTATAAATAAAAGCATCCTGCCACGAGAAATTAGCGTTTTAATCATTTTGGTGAGTGGTCGCTTTAAATCCAACATTTTTTCTGAGTCGCTCTTCTTTTCGCGGCAGCAGATTAATGACGTAGATCTAATAATGCTATTAGAGATCCACTCTGAAGAGCTCAGAAAGTGTGTGTGTGTCTGTATGAGTGTGTGTTAGGAAAGAATTAATGCCGCAATTAATGCAGTTTGAATGAGACTGCGACTTACTGGATAGATGCTAAAACTGGGGCTGCAAGGTGGATCACTGGTCAGCACCGCCGCCTCACAGCTAGATGGTCGCTGGTTCGCGTCCTGGTGAGGACACCCGGTATCTGCGTGGAGGTTGCATGTTCTCCCCGTGCAGCGCGGGTTCTCTCCGGGTTCTCCGGCTTCCTCCCACACAGTCCAGAAACATGTTGAGGTTAATTGGTGATTCTAAATTGTCCGTAGGTGTGAATGTGAGTGTGCTTGGTTGTCTGTCTCTAAGTGTAGCCCTGTGATAGACTGGTTACCTGTCCAGGTGAACCTGCCTTCACCCTGAGTCAGCTGGGATAGACTCCAGCCCCCCCACGACCCTAGTGAGGATTAAGCGGTGTATAGATGATGGATGGATGCTAAAACTGGTGTTTCTGAGCCGATGCAACCAGATCAAATGAAACCAAAAGTGTGTTTTTTAACCACTTCAAGTGTGTCTTTAACATACATCTGGTAAGCCTGTGAAAGCACAGCTGTGAAATATTGCAGATTATTTTTGTGCCGTATTAACGTCGTTACACATTAACATTTCCAGGTGTGGCAGCCTCAGTTTCTGCTTCACCACCGACAGGTGAAGTGTTCTGGGTAAATATCTTGCACAAACACACGACAATTATGTAGTTTCAAGCTAAACCAGCTCCTATTGACACTGGAATTCTTGTGTGAAATAGCCTGATGATGACTTTGCGGAGCTGTAAAGATCCATGTGCAATAAATGATCAACAATAAAGGCCGTGGACACTCCCCTGATGTGAACTGACCCAGTAACATTAGCCATTAGTACGAAGCCAATGTGGTATTGCTTTGTTGGGTTATAAAACACGCAAGAACCTCGGACAAGCTTCATTTCACACGAGAGGACCGACGAGTTTTCAATTCCGTGCAGTCTCCCATTCGATCAAAGACTCAAAATGAAACTACTCGTGTCTTTGGCTTTCATCAGCGTGATGCTGTCAGCAGGTAAGAGCAAATAAACATCACAGAAATGACGGTTGAAATGTGATGTTTGTCAGCCTTTGTGAACATGTCACGCTCGTCTCTGCCTGCAGTGTGCGGGTTAAAGTGTTACACCTGCTGGGGTAGAAACCCTGCAAACTGTAATGAGATATGGGAATGTCCGAGCCACTTTGACCGCTGCTCCACCACCCTCGGTAGGTCTAACGTACCAACACATGCTATGTGCTTCATATGATGCAATTTACATTTTTGCTCACTTTATCTTTGCATCAGTAGACTTTAGCACAGCCTTATGAACCTAAACTGTCATCCAGCGGTTCTTGTCACTGATGTACCTCACTTCTACTGTCTCACTTTGTGGCAGTTGCTGAAAACATGATCACCAAACAGTGCATGAGAAGCGACATGTGCGGCATGGATTCCAACTTCGGCATCAGATGCTGTTCAGGAGACCTGTGTAATGGAGCAGAGCACACCGGAGTCTTCCTCCCTCTCCTTCTAGCACCTTTAGCCATCATTACTCTCTATATTTGAAATGTTTAGGTCCCCGTTTTTTTATATTTTATGTTGTAAAAATCTAAATCTTATGTTGTCTCTAAGTTTTTAAATGTCGAGGAAGTGCACAGGTGATCAACGAACATGTGAAGCGTTGAAATATGTTTTTAGATTTCAGGAAGCAGCTGAAATCTAAAACCCAGTGGCCTATCAGAAGACTTTTGCACCGTGTAACTGTGATTATTCTGATGTTAACCTGCATCGTAAATACGTCCATGTACATATTCAAGAGATTTATATTTAAAATATTTGTATAAATGACATGTACCAAATATAAACTGCTGTCACAGAATAAATGATGAGCTGTTTGAATGAACACATGACGATTTATCAACTTTTGTTCCTGTTTTCTGTCCTTCAGACCGTCTACACAGCCAGAATAAGAGCTATCTTGCTTCTACAAACCTGCTAAAAATGCATTCATTCATGAAAACTGCAGCTAATTTATTCTTATTTGGTCATGTATTTTAGAGGCTAACTCTCTTAGAACAATATGTCAATATTTCATATATCATCCTGTCTGTAGTTAAATAAACCAGGCAGTAGAGGGCAGTGTAGGAGAAATCAAAAGGTGGCTCACAAAATCTTACCATTGAGCAAAAAAATACTGAGCATCCTATAATCAAGTCTAATTACTTGTGAATCATTTGTCTTAAGTAAATTATTAGCACATCAGACTGACTTTAACTGCATGTATTTGTCAGTTTATTGCCTGAAATATTATTAAAGAGTAAATTATTCATAAGAATCATCTTGTGAGAATCTGTGTAACTGATGTTTTGATGTACGTCGTCCATCCATCAATTATCTATACACCAGCTAATCCTCACACCTACGGATAATTTAGAATCACCAATTAACCTCAACATGTTTCTGGACTGTGTGGGAGGAAGCTGGAGAACCCCGAGAGAGCCCACGCTGCACAGGGAGAACATGGAGACTCCACGCAGAAAGATCCCGGGTGTCCTCACCGGGACGCGAACCGGCGACCTTCTAACTGTGAGGCGACGATGTTAACCACCTTGCAGCCCTTGTTCCTACACAATTAGGGTAATATGATGTAATCTAGCTGAGTACAAAGCAGCAAAGTCACATAATAATATATGAAAAGCAACAGGCACACATCATAAAACTTTACATCCCAATGACAGTCATTAGTCGCTGGTAGTTCTGTTAAAGTCGTACAATTAAATGACATGTTTGGAGGTGAAGTCAGATCCGAGACCTTAAACGACAAGGCTGAGACCACAAAGAACTGATCGTCATTTCTGATGTCTATTCAAAGAGAGTTATCACACAGTCACTGCATGTAAACAAGCTTTCACTCCCTTGTTCAGTCACTGTTGAGGTCACGTGGTTTACAAAGCACAAGACAAAAGCAGGAATTTGACCTCAGAACAAAACTCCTCTTATGTCTGTGTGTAAACTGTCAACAGCACACAATCAAACCATTCTCTAGTGTTTGTGTGTGGGGGAAAAAAAATCCTTTATGTCATCAATAACAGGTAGGAATAGACTGATTGTGTTTTAAAGTAACGCCCGCAAACCTCTTATAGACCTTAATTATTAATTTAATCTGAAACATGTCCAAACACTCGCAGAAATATCTCCCATGAGTCACGTCGATGCAATAAAAAGCTGTTGCACGCCGGAAACCCCGCACTTGATTACTGTAAATTTAGCTTCGTGAGTCATGCTGTCGATTAGCCAAACAGCGTCAGACTAATAAATGTAATGAACAGCTGCAAATTCCCAAAACACTCTGGGCAGACGCAATGCAAAACAATTCTGTGCGTTAGGATTCATCACTGATTTAATCGACTCTCGTACATTCGAGGGAATCACGTAAAAGCAGTGGCTGGACAGTATGTAATGCATTTGATGTGTTTTCTTTGGGGTCAGCTGCTGGTGTTGACTTGTGACATGAGTTGATTTAAAGCTGCGACACGTGAACGCTGAATGCTCAACATGTGTGTGCGTCCAACAGTGAACCATTTAGTAGAAACGCCACAGCCTTTATTTGTCTTGCTCTGAAGACTCATGCTCTTTCCATGAGGCCTGTAAAACACGTATGTTTAAATATCAGCGG